CTTTATACGGTGTTGCTACATTTGATGAATGTTGCTTATTCTCAGCTGAGTGCCGAGGATCAACTTCTTCTACAAACTGCGAGCTTCTACATCTACCTCGATGATATTACCATCTACTGTGATCGAGAAGCTGTTGATGCTGCAGACCGGTTTGTGAATATGATGGAGAGTGTTCTCCTTCAAGCAGGCTTCGAGTTGCCTGCATCTAAGCAACATAATTCTGATAAAGAAATGCAGTTCAAGCATTTGGGTTTGAACTGGTGCTTTCGTGAAGGAAATCTCGTGCTGTCCTGCAGAAAGTCTATTCCTTCGGGTCTTAGATTTCCTGATGGTTCTTTCAATATGAAATGGACTGCTCGTCTACTTCTTGGTATTGCCGGTTGTGGTGGTACTGGTGTGGATCCCTGTCGATTGCATTGTGAAGCACGACTAGCAGGAGATTTACTCCGGTCCATCGCTGGGAAGGGGATGAAGGATGCAGATGAGTTGCTCTCGATTGAGAATGGCTCTGCTGACTTCAACATCATTTCCTCGTGTTTTACGACTCTTGAGGAGTATTCTGCCCAACGATGTGAACACTGGTGTTATGGTGGTTCTAGTTTGGTGTGCTTTGTAGATGCTTCCCCAGTTGGTTACGGGTGGTGTATCAAGGTTGTGAATGGTACGGTTACTATATCTGATATTATTTCGGAACCCTCTAAGCCAAATACAGAGGTGTGGGATTTGGCAGAGCAGGCTGGCATATGGCTGAGTACTAAAGCACAACGGAGTTGGCATATCAACAGGAAGGAGCTTGCTGCTATTGGGAAGCTCATGTTGTATTTGCATGAGATGTTGTGTAACCATAGGACGATTGGGCCCCCGATTTCATCAATCTTCGTATATGCGGATTCTCGGACAGCTCTACGGTGGATGGAAAATCGTGTTGGTGCTAAGTCTATTGAGAAGGTTGCTGTACAAAGGTTAGTATGTTGTATAAATGAGTTGGTCTCGGATATTCGTGCCCGTGGTATAACTGTTACCTATGGTAAAGTTGAGGGTGCTCTGAACCCTGCTGATCGCCTCAGTAGACTGGTTGAGAAGTGGGGTCTTACTGCTTCTTTGGGTCTTGATGATGTGGAGCCAGAGAGTCTCTTTTACAGCTGTATTGGACACGGACGAA